GGTTCTTTTCTTATTCTCTTCGGATAGCGTGGTTCCATTTGTTCAGTCAATTTTGGCGGTTTCTCGATTTCTGGTTGTTTGGTCTCAGGAGTACTTATTGGTATCGTTATTTCTGGCTCAAACAATTCACTGTCATTGTCACATGTTTCTTCATTTTCGTTGTTTGTGCAATCGAAGTTTCGTACTCTGATGTGGTCAATATGTCTCCGAATTACACGTCCATCTGTCAATTTTATATGAAATGATGGTGGTCTTGATTGTTTGATAACTTCTCCCGGAATCCATTTAATCTTTGAACCAATTGCGAAATTTCGGGCAAATACTCGCTGTCCTACATTAATTTGTTTGTTCACAGATTTCTTGTCGTGATAGTGTTTTTGTTGTCTCTCCTGAACTCGCTTCTCTATATTCGGAAAAACTAAATCTAGACGTGACTTGAGTTTCCTTTTCTTCAGTAATTATGATGGTGCCAATCCTGTCGTTGTTTGTGGCGTTATACGGTAGTTGAACAGAAAACGGTTCAAATTTTCCTGGACAGTTCCTTCTTTAATTTTCTTCACACCTTCTTTGAAACTTTGAACTGCTCGTTCAGCACAACCATTACTAGCTGGATGCCACGGCGCTGAAGTGCAATGTTCAAATCCATTTGATGTTACGTAATCGGCGAATTCCTTACTAGTAAATGCGGCTCTATTATCACTGATAATGAGATGACATAACCAATGTGTTGCAAACGTTGCTTCGGATGTTGTAGAATTCAGGACGTGTATGCCCATCCATTTTGAATACGCATCAACCATAACTAGAAACGATTTGTGCATGAATAGTCCTACAAAGTCTATATGTATTCTTGACCATGGATGGCTCGGCTATTCCCACGGATGTAATGGTGCTTCTGCTGGTAATGTTCGGTTTTCCTGACAACTTTAACAATTAACTACAGTTAATTCCAAGTCATTGTCCATTCCCGGCCACCATATATAGCTTCTTGCTAGACTTTTCATTCTCGTAATCCCTGGATGTCCTTGGTATTATTCTCTTAACATGGCCTCACGCTCTAGTTGTAGTATAATTACTCTTCCTCCCCACAATATGCACCCGTCCTGACTACACAGTTCATTTTTTATGTCTTCACCGGGACATTTTGACGGCCACCCATTCAAAATGTATCTAAGCAACATAGACAGTATTGTGTCCTTGCGTGTCCACTTTTGAATCTGTTTAACATCAACTTGCGTAGTGGCTAAATGTTCCATTAATAATATTGTTTCACCTGGCGTTGGTGTCTTTTCACAGTTTGTTTTCAGCAGTTGTCTACTTAGTCCATCCGCATTACCATTCAGACTCCCTTCTTTGTATACAATCGTGTACTCATATGCAGCTAAAGTCAGTGCCCACCTTTGAATTCGAGATGCGGTCATTGTCGGTGTAGGTTTATCTTCTCGAAATAAACATATGAGCGGCTTGTGATCGGTTATGATTGTAACGGGGTGTCCATAAAATTTTGATGAAATTTCTTGATACCAAATATTATGGCCAGACTCTCATTTTCAAGAACGGAATAATTCTTCTCGGCTGATGTAAGCGTTCGAGATGTATAAGCTATTGGTTTGTCACTGCCGTCGTCCATTTTATGCGAAAGTACGGCCCCAAATCCATACGGAGATGCATCACATGCTTAGATTAATTTCTTTTTTGGATCGAAATGTACAAGTACTGATGCGGATTTCAACAGCTGTTTTGACTCTATGAACGCTTTTTCCTGTTCTTTTTTCCAACTTCATTTTGTGTTTTTCTGTAGAAGTACATGTAGCGGCTTTAACAAGTGAGACAAATTTGGTAAGAATCTGTTGTAATAGTTCAACATTCCCAGGTAAGCTTTCAATTCTGTCACGTTTGTCGGACTTGGGGCTTTATCGATCGCTTCAACTGTAATCTCCACTGGATAGATTCCGTGTTTGTTTATTTTAAATCCCAAATAAACAACTTCTTCTGCCATAAACACACACTTCTCTTTCTTTAACCAAATTCCTGTTCTCTTATATCTAGACAAAACCTCAGAAAGAGTACTTTTATGTTCCTCCCTTGTTTACCCGTTATCAGTATATCATCTACTCGAACCAAAACATTGGAGATACCTTGAACAACATTTTCAAGTGTTCATGGAAAATACCTGAGCTGGACGCTACACCATACGGAAGTCTATTGTACCTGAATAAACCCTTATGCGTGTTTATAGTCACATATCTTTTACTGTCCTCTTCAAGTTCAATTTGTTGATATGCTTGATTTAAGTCCAATTTTGTATATTATTGTCCCCCTCCAAGCGTTGCGTATAAATCCTCAGTTTAGGGAATAGGATAATTATCCAACTTCGAAACGGCATTAACGGTTACCTTGTAGTCACCACAAATTCTAATAAATTCGTTCTTCTTAACTACAGGTACTATTGGGGCGGCCAAGTCTGAAAATTCCACTTGCTGAATTTGACCCTCCTTCTCAAGACGTTCAAGTTCCATCTTCATTTTATCCTTCAACGCATACGGCAAAAAGCGAGCCTTGAAATATTTCGGTACAGCACTCTCAGCAACATAAATCCTGGCTTTCATGCCTTTTACAGTTCCAAGTTCATCTTTGGAAACCTCCTTATTTGCTTCCAAGATCACATTTAAATCACTCGGTTGATTATCATTTCTAACTACAGAAAAAATATCCTTCCAATCCAATCGGAGTTTGTTCAACTAGTCTCGGCCAAGTAAATTTGGAGCTTTACGCTTCACTATCAATATTGGCAATTTTGCGCTTTACTTCTTGTAATTGACATTGACGATTGCACGTCCTATTACAGGAATCTGCTCTCTTCCGTGTATGTTCGGAGTTTAGCATTTGTCGGTTCAATTCTGAATTTCGACTTGTATTCCTTGTAAGTATCCACGCTCATGATAGAAACTGACGCTCCTGTATCTATTTCCATGGCTATTTCACATTCAATCACATTGATTTGTACTTTATATGCCTCATTAGATTTATTTCCAAAATAAAAAACTGAATACACTTCATTTTCACTTTCACTTTCGCTACTTGCATCCTGCTCAATGAAATGAGCTCGTGATTAAAACTCTTTTGCGATTTTCACTTAAATCCCCATTGAAAGATTTGTTACAACATGTCTTTGCTATGTCTCCTTTCGTTTTACAAATGTGGCATTTTGCCTCCTTAAATCTACAATCGGCGGCTAAGTGATTTCCTCCAAACCGGTAACAATCTCCTTGTTTTGGATTTCCTGAGTTGTTTCTTGTGTACGATTTTGAAATTTTTTTGACTTGTTTCTGAATTGTTGCATTTGTCCCCCTCGCTTGGATGTCTTGTGCGTTCTTCTCAGCAGTCTCCATAGCGGTAGCAATTTCCAATGCCTTGTCAAATGTTAAATTCGGCTCTGATATCAGCCTCCTCTGTATGCGGCCATCTTTATTCCGACGACTAACCTGTCTCGTAACATCGCATTTAACGTGTCACCATAGTTACAGTGTTCTGTCAGACTTCTTAGTGCTGCAATAAATGTCCTCACTGACTCATCGCTGTGTCTTATTCTAATGTTAAATTTGAATCTATGAATTATTTCTGATGGTACCGGGTCTCGGTGGTCTTTCACTAATTTCGTTAAAACGGCAAGGGATTTAGTTCCTGGTTTGGCTGGTGCTAATAAATCCCTGATTAATTTATAAATGTTCTTCCCGCATACACTCAAGAAAATATCTCTTTTTTGGTCTTCATCGTCTATTTCATAAGCGTTGAAATAATATTCCATTCCTTTTACATACTATACCCAATCTTCAGACTCTTCAAAATAATCTAATTTCCCGTAAGTCGGCATTGTTATATGTAGAAATTCACATTTATTTTAATATTCCAGTTTTCAAAACGTGTAATATATTTGCTTTATAATAATACAATCCAGTTTCTATAACTAATTTATTAACAAGTACATCGTTTTATGGTCAGACTACAGAATGGCAATATGTGTATGAGAACTTCATTTGAACTCTTAAGTTATGTTTATTAAAGAACGTGCAGACATGGGAAAGTTGCTGATCTGTCAATTATAATTACTGTAACAGATGCTACGATAATAAAGTGCAGTGAACTTTATAACAGCGTGTACCCTCCAAATTCGGATAATATTGCATTAAAATGGAGTTTTGAGGTAGGTGTTGTTTTATTTTTTTATTCTATAGACGGGTTTATCTATAATTGACCTAGAAAACATGGGCGCATCCATTAACCTCTCACGTGACCGATCAGCTATTACAACCGTGAAAAAATAACGCACGTGTATTGATCAATACATTATCGATTTTCTGTTTACATTTGTATTCCTTTCATTTTCTGATTTATTTTACTATGGATACTGCTGAAAGTTATAAAAAAGGTGGAGGCATTTCTCGTGCAGTTAATAGTTGTTCAAATAATCGTAGATGTGGAAAAAAATCAATATTTGAATTACACGAGTTGCGCAATGACTGCCCTTGTTTGATTCCATACAACATGTATAAGTCTCATTTGATGCCTGATGCATTATTCGCACATTTACTGATTTTAGCAAGTCAACATGGCGGCTTCTTAGTTACGAAATGTCAACTGTGTGGATTTGACAGTAGCTTACGAGAAAAAATGTAAATTAAAAATGGCAAATGTCGGGGTTGAGAATTAAAAGAATTAAACCATTTTTTTTCTAGCGGTTATTTAAGAAATAATTCATGCAACCTATAGATTTATAGGAAATTTCCAGCTTTATCTTACAGGGGGTAAAATAGAACAGCCACACAAACGTCATAACCACCCTCAATTCAGTTTTTAAATGACCATATTTGTCTTATTATAATCGAAATAATTATAGATTATCGGTGGTCATCTCAACAAGATTGATTTTCTCGCATGTGTAAATTTACAACAAATCTATGGCTTCCGTGAATTATTTTTTAATTTTCTAGTATACTTACGATTTCTGTAGTATAACGTTATTTCTGTTATGTATGAGGACTCGAAAAATTCAAACATCCACCAAGCCTCAGTTCGACCTGTCTGTGTGTGTGTACAATCGTACCAACCAAATTTATTCGTTATTGGTGGGTTAATGGCATTGGTTGGTCCAGCTGTGCTAATCTGTGAGCTTTGTGTAGGCGTTCCAAATGGCGTAAGGTTCTCTGTTTAAAAGCACAAATAAAGACAATATGAGTAATACATCTTATGTTAGTTATATTAACAATAGAATTTATGAGTTGTGAGGGATTTACAGTGAAGGGGCATGGAATTATTAAGATCGAATATTTACACGCCCCTGCATTGTCAGTCACTTACAAAATGTTTTGTTTCATATACATATTCATGAAGTTTTTAATGCGGTCCGTGCAAACAGTTTTTGGATTTTTCTTTATCGAAAGATCTTTGTATACATGTAGGTTCAAATTATCATCGAAAATGATGAATGATGGAGTAACGTTAGATTTATTATTACAGTAAAAGATTGTTTAAGCAAAATTGATTTGACTGCAAAGGTGAAAATAAATATTTTATTGCAAAGAGCTCAGATTCGGTATGCTCTTTTAAACATCAATAAGTTGGGCTGACGACGTCTTTAATGCTTGTCCTTCATGAATGAATGAAATATTTGCCAATGCGCGTTTACACACAAATCAATCATGCAACCAATCCTTAAATGCAAATTTGACTAAAACATTTACAATGTATCTATTTTTCTTTCTGTTCTGTCTTCAGTAGTAATTTCTAAAAATCATGCACAGGTGGGCGTAAAGTATTGCTAAATTCCCTACGCAAAATGCCACGAGGTTGCAACAACTTTCGAGATTTAATCCCTTGACTGAGTGAAAAAAAAGTAAGGATGAAATAGCAATAACCATGCTAAAATTCAATTTTTAACAGGGGTTTCTTAACGAAAATCCGGCGATTGTCAAAAGATTGTACGGCGGGCAGGCGGGCAATGTATCGGTCGGCACCAGCTGTTTTGTTCAATTTCTTGAGAACCATTTAAACATTGCTTTATAAATTTAAATATAAGACAAAATAAATTACCGAGATCAAGGTCGATTATCACGATTTATCCGGGTTTGTTGTAGTTTGGCAGCCTCTTGTTAAATGATATTATTATGATTAGTGATAATTTCTAATTGATGTTAATTGTAATATATTAGAGAAAATGTTTTCAATATATATATATGTTATAGTTATTGAACAAGCACATTGGTATATGTCATTTAATCTGTACGGCTCGGGTGACCCTACTTGACCCTAGGCGTCATCCCGACCGTGGAGAATGCATGATATATAGTTTTTATATATAAATAAGATGTGGTATGAGTACCAATGAGACAACTATCCATCCAGGTCACAATGTGTAAAAAGTAAACAATTATAGGTCAAAGTACGGCCTTCAACACGGAGTCCTAGCTCACACCGAACAGCAAGCTATAAAGGGCCCCAAAAAGACTAGTGTAAAACAATTCAAACAGGAAAACCAACGGTCTAATCTATATAAAAAACGAGAAACGAGAAACACTTATGAACCACACCAACAAACGACAACCACTGAAAAACAGGCTCCTGATTTAGGACAGGTGCATAAAAATATATACCGATTTGATAATTCAATTACTGTTTTAACACATAACATCATCAATTTAGAAATTATCGGATGATATTAAATCCAGGGCTCCTGGGAAAGTTTTCTTGTAGGGTAAAGAAAGGGGGAAAATACGCCTTCAAGGATGTACACCTCTGACGAGCCAAAAATTTCTAGAATTAAACTTTTTTTCTTAACCTGGGTTTTGGTTTAATATGACTGTTAGAAAGTAATAGATGAAGAAAAAAATCATATTTTTTGCTATGGTCATTTGGAAGTACCCATTCTTAATGATTTTCCCATTTTTAACCAATTGTTACCCATTGTTTGGGCTATTATCATGAAAAAAAAATCACAGTTTCACAATTAACCAATCTGAATAAATTTAACTTAAAAAACTATAGGTTGATATTAATATTAGAAAGTTTTATAAAAATTTGTTGCTTTTTCGTGTCAAATTGACCATGCTGTCAATTTTTTAAATTTTTGGGATTTTTCTCTTTTTTTTTTTTTTAGAACAAATAGCAAATGAAAAATGTTTGAAAAAATACCTATCTAAGAATTTTGAAAAGAAAAAAATGATATGAGATGTTCATATTTTTGGTAAAATCATTTCTTTGTACCTTTCACCCATTTTCTCAATATTATGGCTGACGACACTGACCAGATTGGTTATAAAATTTGAAAATTTTATTACCCAAAAACTACTGATTGTAAGTACACAATTTTTTCACAGAGTTTAGTTTGATTATAATATTTTTTTAAATTCATAGATAGTTTCCACTTGTATCATTCCAGACGAGATTATAACGAGACTGAAACATCAGAAGAATACAGTTCATCATGATGTACTATGACAAATTATAACTGAAAGGTTTAAGGAGTATTGCTTTTATTGACCCCAAGAATATGCTCAGAGGAAGATTAATCGAAGATTAAATTTATAGCGCAAAGTAAACATTAAAAAAGTTTCACTTTTCAATCTTTAACTTTTGACCTTCCCCCGCAATTTTCAATCTTATTAATTCTGAAGCAACTACTCTCAACTGCAGTCAAGTTTAGCGAAAGGTCCCACGACACAATCAGTCAACAAAACTTTATTGGATCAACACGTAAAGAAACGATCGTTGTCATTGGTCGATTTAAACCTGATTCGACCTCCAAGCTCTGAAGCCCCGCCCAGACACAGATGCTAACAACTCACTAGATAAACATAGCAAGAGTTGTTGTGAATGAATTATCAATAGGTAGATTGTGTATTTGTTTACACATGTGGTCGGGTTTTTCCTGGCAGTTTTAGTTATGGTGTGTAAATTTTATAAATGTATAAATATTATTCAAGTCTTTTGTTTTACGTTTGATACATCCTATTCCATGATAAAGGGGTGTTCCAACCATATGTCCCCATTCAAAACATTGATCGTCAATGGATCCGCCACTGACATGTTATTTCTGTTTAAATGTTTAAAAAGGAAGATGTTGGGTAAACGTCAATGATTACATAATCAACGACAAAAATATAAAAAAAAGAAAAACGAAAAAACTTTCCAAGGTACAAATTCAATCAAAAGTCCTTAATAACTAACAAAACCATACGCTCCACTATATCAATCAACGGAAGGGATGGATGTCATATTCCTGACTTGGTGCTGCATGATACCGGCCTGGTTTTATTAGCTAGTTAAACCTCTCAAATTCTCCATTCGACTTTAGATAATTGTCTTTACACTATGTCAAGCTATACACCGTCCAAATGAATAAAATATGTCGACCAACGTAAGAGAAACACTTAAAGTAAACAACAAATTATGTATACAGTATACCGGTAAACTGTTTGAAACGGTTTTGACCTAGTCCTTGATGTAACATCTCCGTTTTCAAAATTTAGAGAACTAAGATGGTCGTCTTCAGACTGTTCGAAAAATGTGTCCAGCTAAGTTGACTTTGAACCAAGTTGTGCGATATGTATGTCGGTCTAGTACATTACATGCACTTCCGGGGTTTTTGTGTTGAATTTCATCGGGTATGCGAAATTCTAAACTTTAGTGTCATTAGCAAAACAAACATGAAACCTTGGACAAAAAATACAAAAGCAAACAAAACATGTTTAACCCCGACATATTCTGTATGTATGTGCCTGTCCCAAATCAGGAGCCTGTTATTTAGTGTTTGTCGCTTGTTGATGCGTTACATATTTGTTTTTCGTTCATTATTTGTACATAAATTAGGCCGTTAAATTTTTCGTTTGAATTGTTTTACATTTCGGGGTTTTTTATAGCTGACTATGCGGTATCAGCTTTGCTCATTGTTGAAGGCCGCACGGTGACCTATAGTTGTTAATTTCTGTGTCATTTGGTCTCTTGTGGAGAGTCGCCTCATTGGCAATCATACCACATCTTTTTTTTATATGTACGTATATGTACCAAATACCAAGCGCTTTTATCAATTGTTTGTTGTAAATATGTGGCAAATGCTAAACATCACGACATTATAGCTAGTGTCACTGGCGATGTAATTGTTCGGACCTTGTTTGATGCATAAATGTATTACTTGTGTGTATTGATTTGGTCCGTATAGACAGAACACTATATATCTGGTCATTGCTGTTCTTTTTGCAACTGTTTCGCACTTCATCACACCGTGACATATTATGCTAAGGGTTTTGTTAACTGTTGAAAACCGTGTTTTTGTTCACATCTTCTTTTGTCTATGAATAGTTTTCTCATTGACAATCATGAACATTGCAAATTCCACGAGTGCGGGTAGGGGGAGGAGGATGAAGTTCATTAAACGACGTATTATGTCCAGGTTCAGAATTGAATAAAATACACAATATTGCCGAAGACAGGCCCTGGTGGTTATAATAATTTTGGCTCAACAAACTGTACGACAAAGGTTTTGCTGAGTGATGATGAAATGTGTTACATGGATTTGTTCACATATTTCTTTTTATCCGATGGATAGATGACACATTTACAATCATACTACATCTCCTTATTTGCATATTACGGGCCGACCATTCGAAATTCAACAAAGAATTATAAACGATTTTCTTTTGCCTGGTAAGAACTGCAAACAAATAATAAACTTGCCCCAGATAGGATGAAAACGTATATATTGCCAAACAGACTACGAAAAGGACTTCGCCAAATGTTGAAATCCGAGCGACATCTTTTTTTGTTGGTTCTATCGATAGTTGTCTCTTAACAATCATACTGCATCTCTATCATCGGATGACATGAATGTTTCACCCAACAAAATGGAGGCAATAGTGGAAATAATTTTCAGCTCCGCAAGGGAAATGGTCGTCTTCTAAAAAAGGAACACAGCAATAAAACTTTTTAAGAAATAAAAAAAAAAAACTTTAACAATATGGAACACCAACGTCTTTATGGCTAATCATATTTCTCATATATAAAAACTCCGTGATGTCAGATTTTATCACTGAAATTTGCATTTTTGATAATTATAATTAAATCAAAATTATAATTGTTTAAAGTTCAACTGATACATCTTTTTTTTTTAACGTTCTGATTATCCGTTTTAGTGCACATTACAAACTATCTT